TGGAAATCACAAAAGAAAAGGTTGTTTTAGTGCACATAACTAGTTTGCCTGAGGTAAGGGATTGATAATTTGAGAAACAAAGTGAGTAGGAAGACAGAAAAGGGATTGCACAGTTTAGAGGAGAAATTATGAAGGAAGGAGTATGTATCCTGAGCTCTGCTGAGGATCCTGACCTCAGTTCAGATTCTGAAGTAAATACTGAGCAAGAGATCAGCATATTTCTGAGTGGTAACCAGTTAGATGTAACATAACATGCTACATTTGCAGCTGGAGCAAATGAAAAACACTCAAGTATTCAATTACTGGGTTTAACTGATGCATTAATTACCTGTTAAGAACTGTTAACCTGTTTTCTTGTGATCACTGTGGTATCAAACAACAGAGTATATCACAGGTGACCATGAGCTTACAACCCTGATTCACAAGGGCAAACCCATCTTTCTATACCATGCCAAATTTGCACTTATTTTGCATTAAATTTTCCTGTTTGCAATGAAGGAAATGAAGATATATTAAGCAGTACCATGGTCAGGCATATCTTGTCTTTTTTGTTATTGTTGCTGCTGTTATGAATTCTTATTGGGATCTTAAGGAAAATATAATAATACCCAAGTACCATCTTTTAAGCCTTGCTTCACAAATCTGAAACAAATTGTCAGCAGCCTTTGGAGATGTTCAGGAGGAAGTCAGCTCTTGCTTTTCTCCAAAAGCCTGAAGGAAAGGTTGGTGTCTCCCAAGGAAATAAATATCCCTTGTTCCACAGATTTTTGAATACACCAGCACATGTGGAAAATGCCTGACAGTCCATATTCATGGTTCATGAAACATGACTTTGAACTGCAACAGCAAGCAAAAAGTTACTCAAAGTCTCAGCAAAGTAAAATAGTAAACGCGATGACTCTGGCTTTCTTCTGTGGCATTTTTGGAGCTAATTTGAAGCCGTGCATTCCCAATGCAGCCAAGGGCTACAAAATCTTAGCCAGCGTATTTTAAATGAGGCCTTTCCATTTGTGATAGTCCCTGTGTTGCACTCAACTGCAAAATGATTGACTGCATTTGCATCATTAACTTGCACAGAGCTCAAATAGCCAACTTACAAAAATACTGTAATAATGAGAAAAAGAGAAGTTCAAAGAAAGAGCCCTTAATTCTTGCTACTAATGTGACCCTATTTTCCCAGTGGGATCATTCCTTGAAACTTCTCTGGCATTACTCTGATTGCTGCATGGGAGTTAGATCAGAATTAGACCAATGCTGGTCCAAAAAGCAGAGTACTGTTAGGTGTGGATGAGCTTTGATCCTTCTGATCTGTTTATTCTCGGAAACGTTTCTGGTTTTGGGTACCTTTTGAATAGAAAGGCGAAGTGGACAGTTATTTTGCTCCTGCACATGGTCTTCACGTACATGTTGAATCTGAGCAAGTACCTGAGTACTGCAAGTCAAACCCATTGCTTTTCCAGAGTTGTCATTCTACCAGAATATCTAGTTATTAGAGAGATTTTCAAGGTTTCTTAGTAGTATGATAACACTTCCTATTTTAGCAGTGCATGAGGACCATCTGAGAAGAGCTGGTGCTGGGCTCACAGGTTTTCCAAGGAACTTGGAGTCCCAGCTGCCAAAACCAACATGGCAGGGGATGGGAGGGCTGAGTAGTCACTAGCAGAGTGAACATCAGGTGGCACAAATTGACTCCAATTTTTATTGTTGCTTTTGACTTTTTTGATTGGCCTGAGCTAAGTAAGGAGAGAATTGAAATGGAATTCAATCCAAAAGATGAATTTGAAAATACAGTTGTGTGAATGATTAATTTAACCAATGTTAGCTCGTTGTTGACATAATAGCACAATATAATTTAACTAGCGGATATCTTTTATTGTACACTTGCATTTTTTGGTTTTGTATTCCAATAGATTCAGGTACTGTTGCTTCACAGTGACCTACATAAATCTCAAAGGAGACTTTATGAATGATTGGTTTCTGTGTCCTGATACGTAAGAAAGAGTAAAATGTCAAATTTATGATATCACTGCTACCCCAAGATGTCAGTTTTGTTATCATTCTAGCCATGTTTGCCAAACGCATTTAAAAGTGCAGTTACATTTTTATTATTGTGAAATACAAGATTTATCTCTGAAAGATGTTAGTTGTGCTTATATATTTTTACATGCATCCTCCATTAAATAGATTATCTAAAATAATCTCTCTCTGCAAAGCTAAATGATGTTATGTAGTTACCAAATAATGCATAATAGTTCATTAGTGAAACTCTTGGCTTCAGGACACATGCTGTAGTTCCAGTGTAATGTCTGGAAAGTGGCACTCCAGTGTCCTAGCAGTAGGGAGCAAAACCTTTTGCTTTTCTCTTTGGCTTTCTGAGAGAGGATGGTTCACTTAATATGGAATAAACTCAGTGGTCACTCTGGTTAGGGCAGCTACCTTACAAGCCCTCATTCTATAATTAATTTTGACTTCAAGAGCTGGTTATTCCTTAAGGTTGCTTAAAGAGAAGCAAGCAAACAGCTGAAGAGCAGCAAAAGGGTGTGAAAAGAACAAGACTGGAAAAAAATGAGGAAAAGAAAGAAGAGGAAAAACACAGTTGTGAACTAAAAGAAGCATAATGGAAGGGGCATTGAGATTTTGTTTTGTTTTGTTTGTTTTGCTTTTGAACAAAGAAAATCTAGAGGTTTTGGAAGTTAGTCATCAAAGAAGCTCTAATTGTGTCCCTGATGATGATTGCCTTTGTCAGAGCACTGTTTCACCTCTGTAATTGAAGAGATGCTGGAAAAATGTTTAATTGCATCATCTCAGTGATGCTCAGGTGAGCATTGTGGAATGTGTTTATGCGGGATAGGATCCCAGGCCTGTATTAATACAGGTGCTCCTATGTGTTTTGTGGTTCCAGGTGCAGAACAGAGCCTTCCATTTTTTAAGTTGTTCCTAAGTATATGAATCTACCACATTGAAAGCATAAAATTCCTGTGTTTGGTACCTTCCCTAAGGTAATACTCCCCCTTAAAACCTGCTTTGAAAGAAAGTTGGAGAAAGACAGTTTCTCCATTTTACCAGGAATGGAGGAAAGTGTGATTTTGGTACTGGAGATAAACATGGCATTATAATGCAGCTAAGCAGACGGGTGTAAAAAGAAGTTTGCTTCTTGGTTGAGTCCTTGGTGAAATTCTCTTGTCCCTTGTTACTGTCACTGTGCCGTGTTCTGTCTCAATGAGGCACTTCCCTTGTCTGCACCCCTTCGTGCAAGGGATTGTTTAGAAACATGCCAGATACATGAGTCTGTGAATATTATTTCCTCAGATTTTGGGAGAAAAGGCACAACAAATTGTAAATATTGTTGGAACTGGTGATCAGGTGATGAAGGGCTGAGCAAACTGCTTTTGTATGATCATCCAGTGCTTTTGGACCTGTACTTCTCCAAGTAATTAGTGCCCAATATATTAGATTAATAGGCTCTCCTGTCCCATAACTTTTTTCATAATCAAATCAGCTTCCAGAAAAAAAAAATCAATTTTTTTTTTAATTTAAAAGCTTTTAAAAAGTTAAAGCTTTTTAAAAAGAGTTCTTTTTAAAAATACTTTAAAATGTGTACTTAGGAGGCAGTCACTGGATTTCTAGCTTTTGGGTTAGACAATTTGCCAACAAACACACCAGTTGAAACAACACATTTAAGTTGAATTTAAGTTGAATTTAAGTTGAAACAAACAAATTTAAGCATATCATGATACAACTTGTCAAAGGAGGGGGGAAAAAGAATTGTGAAACATGAAATAGGACATTTAGATAGGTGAATGACAATAGATGGATGAAGAAATCCCAGTTTCTAACACAGAAAAATTCCACAGAGGAGAGCAGGAGCTTGTGATTGTTGCCTCTAGAAGCAGGCTCTGAAATGCACTCAAAATATGAGTGTGTGGTAAATGAGGCAATGAGGGCATAATCTGTGAGCTTCTAGGCTGCTTGCTTCTTTACAGAAGAGAAGATTGGAACATTGTTTAAGAAGAGCTTTTTTTTCTTCTTCTTTTTTTTTTTTTTTTTTTTTTTTTTTTTTTTTTAATGCCCTAAAAGTATTAGAAAATATAATGGTCTGTACGTCACTTCCCAGTTCTGCTATCAGCTTAGTTCAGTGAATTTGTAGGAGGAAAAGGAGAGATCATTTTAAAAACAGGTGGGTTTGTTCCTTAGTCTGCTGCAGAGATTCACTGGGACACTGATAATGTTCTTTATTCTCCAAATTTTTGTTTTTCATCATGAAATGGGAGAGAGAACCTTTGTCTTTCTTGTGCTTGACACTGTCGTTACATATTTTGGGAAATCTGTACATCTTGGCTTCTTGTAACTGTATACAGTGTCTAGCCTAATGGTACCATTATCTCTATATTTATCTGGAAGTACCATTTATTAAATACAGATTTAGTACCAAGGTCTGTAAGAGAAATTTGTCCTTGTTGACAAATGTCTTTTATGTTTGACTTCTATTTGGTTTAAAAAACTCTCAAAGTTTATTGTAAATAAACTTCAGTGAAAAAAGCTGAATGATTATAGTCTGGATTCCCTTCAGAGTGATTTCTGGCATGCAGGAAATAAATTACAGAGTATTCAAAAAAAAACAGCTGCTTCTATTTGGGTAGAATATATCATGATTTAATGAAGACAACCATCTGCTCCTGAGTAAAATCCTAATTAAGCAATATATGAATCAGAACAAAATTAGCTATAAAGCAATTAGTATTTTATAACTGTTGCCAGCAATGTATAGCAGCCAATATGTGAAAAGTTTCCTTAAATATCAGTAGTGTTCATCACATTTTAATGTACTGAAAGAGCTATAAAGTTTCTATTGCCTGTAGTTGATACCTAAACAAAGTCTCCATAGTGAAATTTTGGATTTCATAACATGAGCTAAAGCATTGCATAGAGAACTGGTGTGTCCATCATGTTTTAAACTTACTAGCTTGGTATTTTTTTTTCCTATGTTGCTTAGCATCACATTTAATGAATTACACTGCAATTTTGTGCCTCCAAGCAAGGCTGTGGAAAATACAACTGTCCAAATTTTACAGGTAAGTTGAACAAATTGAACAGGCTGTATCTCTTTAGGAAAACCTTGCCTGAACACATTAGTGTTTCTGTGTAGAAATCTGATTTGTGACGCTAATGCTTCATTATAAAGGGAAACTTCCTAGTTTAGCTTTTGCAGTGTGTATCAGGCCACGTTATGTAACTGTGCAAGGACACCCGCAAAGTTGACTGAAATGGCCCTCAGCAACAGAGTTGAGATGGGTGAAGTGTATGGAAACCTGTTCTTCTAGAGACAAACTTTAAACATAACATGGCCTGGAATTTGACACTTAAACTAGAGAGAAGCTGAGAAAGATAACTGATCCTGTAGGTTTAACACAATTTAAGGGAAACCTACTTTTTTCAAGGGAAAAAGGAGTGATGTGAGTCCAATGTGGAGCCACAGTCTACACCCAGGGCGTGTGCCACCCCAGCTGCGATGCCAGTGCCGTGCCAGTCCTGGTTCAGGTCACAGGCAGCACAGTGTCTTAGCTAGCAGGCTTCATACCCAGAAACATGAGGTTTGCAGAAAAAGGCAAGAAAAGTAATGTAGGGAACAGACAAGAAATGTTCAAGTGCTCTCATGTGCTGAGATAAAGAAGGCCCTTGTGCAATGAGGCAACATTGTTGAATAAAAATAAAAAGTTATCTTTGTAAGCAGCACTACTTATGTATAAGCACCACTCTATCATTTTTGTGCCACGTTGCTTTCTTTCACCTGTATGTTTTTTTCCTTCATAATACTTTCAAGGAGTAGTAGAAGATAATATGCAAAGCAAACACGACAGCTTGCCTGACCATGGATATAAAATTTAATATCCACAAGAGCTCTCTCTGTTGTCTTTAAGTTGAAGTAACAGTCTGAACCAAACAATAACATAGAATTTCTTATGCCCGGGAAATTGGACAGTTTATTCACTGATCAGCTTCAGTATTTGTTCAGACCGTTCAAAGAGGACAGAGCCAGACTGAGATCACCAGGCACCCACTTCTGCCTTTGCCCAGTGTCTGCTGGGTGGAAGTGAGATTTCTCTGGGAGGCCGCGAGCTCCAGGGGCAGGGATGCAGCCTGCTCCATCCCTCTGGAGCTGCGATGAGTCTGTGCAGGTGTGGGTGATGCTGTCCAGGACACCTTGCCACCTGGCAGTGATAACGTGACTCATGGGTGGCTTCAGCTCTGCCTGGGCTGGCACAACCACCCTGCGGTCAGAGTAGCAGACCGAGTTCGATACAGGCTCGGGGTCCACACGTTTTCTATTATCTTTGCTATCCAAAGTATCTGATCCATGATGCAATCCTAAAGAACATTAAAATTTACTTTTTCTGTTGTTTGTGGCTTATCTCCAAGAACGCTTCTATTTTGCTCTCCCTCAGCAAACAAATCAGGTACTTCAGTCCCTCTATAAATTGTTCTGGTGCTCTGCTGAGCCAAGCTGCAAACACTGCAGGGAAATGTTTTTCAAGCCAGACTTAAAGCTGTCTCTTCCATGTAAACTGTTCAAATTAAGCTTTGTAGAGCATCAAGTTTTGTGTTTTGTTTTGTTTTTGCATTTCAGGCATTTGCCAATGCAACAGAATCTCTTAAAGATGTAATGCTCGTGAGGAACTGAATAGATGCACCTCAGGGATGCTGTTCAGCTGGGTCTCCAGGGTGGTTTTAATAAGCCTAAAAATTCTTTAATAACTGTGAGCTGTAATTGGCCCCAGTGGATGCATCTCTGTGGTCAATAGATCTTTTTGCAACATAGATCTTTAGTTCCATATATTTCATGTAAATTTCATGAACATTTGAGGAATGTTCACTCTTATTTTCTTCAGGCACTTTGCTTCAGTGAAGTTTAGAAGACCTAAGTTAGCTGCACCATGCACGTGCATTGGGCCGGTTGCATATAGGGGACTAGTTTGGTACATTACGGGTAAGGGTCTGAAGCACTTGCATGTGTGTGTTGGTTTTTTTGTAATTTCACTCTTAAGGAATCTGTTCCAACCTGGATTTTTTACGAATTTTTATAAAATTTTTATACAATATATATTTTTGCTTCCTTTCAGTTTTCTTCAAAATCAGATGCTATTATGAACCAGTGGTAAGTCCACATGCAGATGCATTATTCAGTCTTGGAAATTAAAGCCTGTATCTACACCACAGTTAACCCTTTTTCTAAAGAAGTGAGACTCAGCATTAAACTGGCTATAATAGCAAGAAAACATGGCAGCGAGGTACAGTGCCAGGGAACTTGCTCTTCTCGTGGTTGATTATTTATAGGCTGTGATGCAGAACCAAGGAGAATGGGAGATTGTCAGTGATGACGTAGGAGGGTTATCAACATTATTAACTTCATTAAAAAAACATACTGTAGCTTTTGTGCCGTAAGAAGCATGATTATGCTATGTGACTAAAAAAGGCTGAACTTACAGCAAGAGCTTTCTGTGCATTCCTAAAGATATGCTAATCTACGAAAAAAAGAAAAGCAAAACATAGATAATTATGATTATCCTGACTTGCCAGCTGTAGCTGACCTCTCTCCAAATGTTCTTAAACATCTATCTGCCTTTCCCAGTTGTCATTCTTTCTTTCTGTGGATAGTCTTATTAACTACTTTTGAATACAGCCAGTGAAGCCACTGAAGAAACCAGTGAGTGATAATTGCTGTATTTTGATATTTATAGAGTATTTGAGTCTATTTGAGATACACGTTTCTGCAAAGTAGTAGTAGTGTGTAACTGCCTCCCCCCTACCAAGTAGTTAGTCTTTCTATTTAACTTCTTTGGAAAAACAGGTCTGTTTAAAATTATTTTTATTGATTTATTTAATAGCCTGCATGCATTAACTTTCTGGTCATGCCGGTGAGGTCTTTCTGGTCATTCCTGGGCATGCAGGGTGAAGTGGTTCGGGGTGTTCTCCAGATCTTATCACCAGGGTGCGGGCCTAATTTCTACTCCCATTTTCTTGCCAGAGTTGCGTTATGCAAAAGAAGAACGTTTTCCCTAAGCACTCAGGGTTAGTGAACGGTGGTCCTGTTGCTTTATTCAGACTGAACTGATGGCTAGAATTCACCCCCCCTATACCCCAGCTGAATTTTGGACAGGAGCCCTATGCCTTTGCCCTGCTCTTGCTTCTCAGTAGAGGTGCTGGTGAGACCTGGATGCGTGGCGTCTGTGTGTTCTGTGTGACAACTGGCTTCATTCCTGCTCCAAAATCGGGGGCAGATGCAGATTTAATTCACAGGAGGAGCCAGGGCTGGAACGGGCTGTTCTGTTGCTGTGGGTCCCTGTACTGTCCCTACAAGCAGCGTGTGCCCTGAGGCAGGCGGTGCTGACAACGGGCTGCTCCGTGTTGAGGCTTCCCTCCTGCTTCCCTCCGTAAATCTGGGCCTCAGTTTGCTTCTTCCTTCTTCATTTTTGCTACATGTCTCCATTTTCAGTAGAAGGATAAAAGGACACCTTTGGGAGCTGGCAGACTCCAGAGATCCTGTGGCCAAACTTTGTTGCAAGGACACATTTAATAGGCTCCTATGGGGATGAGATGAGGTTGGCTAAGGACTGTCAATACAGTTGTGTCTGCAAGGTCAGAAGTGCTACTGGTGAATGCTTTTGTATCTCCTTTTTTTCCCAGGCTTTGGGAAGGGTTTTGTATCGCAAGGGGTGTTTATCAAGGATGGCACATTTGGGGCTTTAAGTCTTAGTTGAGGTTATTCTGGAGTCACAACTTAGTTGCCCAACATTTAGATGGCTTATGATGGTACCTGAGCTGCACTAAGATTACACAAAATGTCATTTTACTTGTTAGGATCATTTATTTGCTTAGTGTTAACAGTGTAATTGAAATAAAAATAGATCTTCTGCCTGAAAGAACCTGTGTGTGTGAGATGCAAGAAACAAGCAGTGTACTGGAGGGAGTGATAACAGGACCTGATACGGTTTTTTCTCTGAGCACAATTAGTTCTTGGTTTGTGCAAATGCTGCCAAGATTGGATTTTTGGTGGAGCAATGCAAGGAGAGCTTGGGGGGTGCTGATAATTAAAGAGGACTGTTAATTTTGAGAAGCCTTGGAAGCTGAGGAAAAGAAACACCTGGGACAGCATAGGGAGAACATTGGCATCAAGGGCAAGAGTTGCTGGGAAATGTCATGAGAGAAATTGGAGCCAACCATGAAAGCCAGGATGTGGATTTTAAACTTGATGCTTTAAAATTGCACCTTTTTTTTGGCCTGTCATTCCCCTGATAGCGTTTCTCTGAGAATATGCTCTATTTTCAGTGGGACTACTGGCAGGTATTGCTTAAGGCAAAATCTAACCCTTGCAGTTAGGAGCTTACATCAATAACTTCTGCACTTGCACTTTTACAGTTTAGTGGTTATTCCAGTTTTTACATAATGTGTTTTGCTCACATTCTGCTGTAAACAGTACTTAAAAGAATTTAGAAGTGGATCTGGCAGTTATTTTCAGCATACTGCTTTTGAAGGAGACATCTTCCTATGTGCATATCTCTATCTGCAAATGATGAAAAGCCTTTTGAAGAGTGGAAACCAATCTTAAATTAATCTCCCTTTTTGCAGCTCAAAGAATGAAGAAATATATATTTACTGGGCAATCTTACCTGTCACCTTCCAGACTGTGATTGACAATTTCTGCCTGAGATCAATAGAACTGTCCTGTAATTACAGTGTCAGTTTGCCTGTGAGACCAGGTCTGCCTTCAGCACTGAAGACAGCAAGTGTGTGCCCACATGTCACTCTTGACATTTTCTCTGAAGTGCAGCTGCCTCCCTCGCTCCCCTATCAAGCGTGGTGAATTGCATTTCTTCTCATTGATTACTAGCTTTCTTGTGCAGCTGAAAGCATTGCCAGCTCTTCCCTGACGTGATGTAAAATCAGTTGAATGCTTTGGCAGGTAGCTTGTGTTTAGTAATTGTATTTTCAAAGTGCCATTAAGTGGAAAATATTAACATAGCTTTCTCCATCTCATCCCCGGACAAGCAATATTTCTGTTTTAGTTTGTATGTAT